ACTGTGCAGCTATGCCATGTCCCATATTTAATGCCAAAGTCCTGCCAGAGCAGTGGGGTCAATGCAACAGCAGCAGAGAAGCCGTGCCCCACAGATGCTTTGGACTACAGCCCCCATATTTCCCAATCATTGTCCCTGATGGCTGGGGATGATGGGGTCACACCTCAAAACCTCTGTGGGCCACCCAGTGAACTACACCTTCCACTGCAGCAATGCCAGGGTCATGGCCACCATAAGCCACAAGCCCCCCCTGTGAGCTGTGCCTTTAAAGCACCCCAAAGCAGTGACAAATTGCTGTGAGGATCAAATGCAGCAAGGAGGAAAGCTGGAATATCACTCCAGTGTAATAGCACTGATTTATCTCCATGCTATGAGGCTGGGAAGGTAGAGACCGGCAGAGGCAAAAGAACATGGCCAGATGGTGGGGCTTGTTTTTGGCGGCCGGTGTTGGTAACCCTAGCCAGCTTGCAAATTTAGAATGCCTCCTCGGTTGTCCAAGGCAGTAAGAAGTTGCTGCACAGATCTGGAGCTGGAATTGGCCCTTCTGTGTTCCCTGTGCAAGCCACACCTTCGCCACCTATGCCCTCCGGGCAACCTGCAGCAGGCCAGGATGGTAGCATTGACGGAAGCCGTTCCCTCGCTCCTCTTCTCCTGAGCTGGCACCGCATGCGTGTGCTTCTGCGGAGAGTGCTTGGCAATAAAAGATGTGCCCACCAGCTCCTGGGCTTGCCACACTTCTCTGAGCAAGAGTTCTCCCCCACAGCTTAGCCAAGAGAAGATTTCTTTGTCTTCTTCCAAAGGAATATTTGGCATAGCAGTCTACATTTTTTCATAATTGATTTTCACTCCCCTAGCAGTTAAAATTCTCCAATATTTGTTTTAAAGGTGTTATACTTTTAATTGGATTTTCAGGGAAGAGAAGCATATAATAGGCATACAAATTGATACTGATCGGGGGTTGGCCATTTGCTTCTCCATTACTGGAGGAGAGCCAGTGTGGTTTAGTGGTTAAAAGTGGGATGGGACTTGAGCAATCTGGATTCTGGTCTCCGCTCAGCCATGGAGCTCACCGAGTGGCTTTAGATCAGTCACTCACTCTCGGCCTAGCCTACCTCACAGGGCTGTTGTTGTGACGATCAAATGGAGTGATGAAAGTTGCCTTGAGAAAAAAGGCGGGATATAAATGCAATCATTACATAAACAATAACTTGGTTCCTTGGCCCACATCTTGCAAAAGAGGAGCAGGGATGGACGATGGAGTAATTCACAGACGTTCACAGGCTGGGGCTGAACTCTGAAGTTGCCCAGATGATCATAAAGCGGCAAGGTCATTATGAAGGATCCCCGAAATCCTGCAGCTCCAATGCTAGCAGAATACGCACCATTGCGATCCTGTGTTTGTATGCAGGTGGAGAGGGGCTTCTGAAGAAGGAGGGGCACAAAGGTTTATTTTTTATTTAAACGTCATTTTAATTGTTGATTTTATTTATTGATTTTAACAACTTTGGCCAGGATGTCTCCAACTGTATTTTATTATATTGATGATATTTACTTGTGTTGTAAGCCGCCCCAAGGCTGAGGCGAATGGGGCGGCATATAAGTCTGCTAAATAAATAAATAAAGAGATTTTTAAAAATTTCATAGAATCATAAGTTGGACAGGCCTAGAAGTCCACTGGGTCCAACTCTTGCTCAGACAGGACTCAGGTCTCCCATCCAGATTCTAATCGGTCTGGACCCTGCTTAGCTTCCAAGATTAGGCAGGGACAGCAACTTCAATAATAGCAACAAATCCCCCCTTCGCCTGCAACTGAGCTGCTAGAATCACTGACATGCAGTAAGTCAGACATAAATGTGCATTTATTTGGAGAGCATCCCATGCATGGCTTATGGGAAGCAGCAGGCCACTGATCACTGGTACTGGGGAACCAGGTGCACAGGACTGGAGCGCCTTCATCTGCCACCACCTCCGTCAGAACTTTTATTAAATTCATTTATACTTACCTCTCAAGGAACTCAAGGCAGCTTCCTTCATAATTCTCCTCCTCCTACCAGACTTATCCTCACACTGACCTGGAATCCATACAGTCACCTGGTGGAAATGAATTTGCCCAGCAGCAAAATATGGTGCCTGCTGTCGAGCAAAGCATTTTGGGCAACCTGGCCACCCATGCCCAGTTCAGAGAATCGGTTTGACAACAGACCCGTTCCCAGGAGAGATGGAGGTGGCTGGAACCAGATTCTCGGATTCACACAGCTACCTTCCTTTGGGGACTTCTCTTGAGGATGCGGCTGGGCGTTCTGGTGACGGTCCCACCCCACTGCAGCATCTGCTACTGCCTGAACCACAGTTTTGCATCTGGCTGTGGCCACATCCCAGGCATTGTTTAGTGCCTGACTTCAGTTGATGGATCACGTTTTCCTTAAGGAAAACCCAAAGTAGATCCCAGAGGTGTGAAAGCTGCTCCGTTCTCCCATCACCACCCCCAAGTGCATTGGTGTATTTTTCGTTGTATGAGTCAGTCGTAACCACTTAGTTATGTTGCGTACAAGTGAAGAGGTACTTTTGCTATAACCCACCAACCCAGGACAAAGAAATATCTTAGCAGCTTTGCTTCTCTCATTTCTAGGAGAAATTCCTGCTTATATTTCAGAAAAGAACTCCTGTAATCACAGTAAGGCTCTGAATATGTGTCCTGAAGGATTTTTTTTGTTTGTTTGTTTTGGTTTTGGGTTTGGGTTTGGGTTTGGGGTGTTTTTGGTAATCTGAGAAGGACTTGGTGAATCACCTTGGGCTCCTCACAAGGGGATAAAAGGTTGGATTCTGATGCAATGCAGTAATGAAAATAGTAATCCTAGGCATTTCCCTGTATACACACACTCATGCACACACACGTTAAAGAATTTGGTGCAAAGCATAGGAAACTATTTTCTCTTGCTAGTCAGGGTTGCCAGTGAGAGGAGAGAATTTTGGAGAAAGAGTTGGATCGGGGCCATTCTGCAGCTGTGTTTAGTCCTAGAACTGTAGTGTTTGTCTCGCTGAATAAGCACATAAGAAGCTCCCTTGTCCTGGCGCTGTATCCCCCTCCGTATTCCTTCCCCACCAACATTTATTTTATTTATTATATCAAGCTTTTTTAGACTGTCCTACTGGCATCTCAGGATGGTTTACAACAAGCAACAGATAAACTGGCACAGCATCCAGTAATTCAATAATATAATATAACATACAGCTACTTCCTCGAGGATCTACTCTGCTTTCTGTGTAGGATATTATCCTGCATATTCCAGCCTAGGGTAGACTCCTAGAGTTTTCTACAAGAGGCATTTCTTGTGTGCGCATCATTCCCTCTTCATGGTGCTTTTGCAGGTTCTTCTGACTCCCAAGTGCTTCTATTTTCAATGAACTCTTCCAGAAAGGGTGAGGGGTAGAATTATTTGTGAATGGAAAAGAAAATGCTTTTCCCATTTTTGTATTTGTGCTATTCCACCCAACTACACTTCTACCAGGTGGTTACATAGCAGAAAAACTGGAAGGGTAGTGCTCCTCCTGTAGCGCTTTGATCTCATTCTTTGATGGCACCAAAATAGGTACACTGGATTAACAGCTTCGTGTAGAAAAGCCCTTTGTTGTGGGAGTAACTGTAAAAGCGTGTAATCGGCTGTGCAGCATTTCCTGTACCTCTTTTCCCTCCTCATCCCCTCCTGTGCTTCTACTTTGCCTGGATTTTGATGGGAAGGGCTGGCAGAAGCAGCGAGCTATTTCTGTTGGGCTCCCTTTCGTGCTGTGCAGACAGAGTCCCACAGCCATAAATAGCCACAGAATCTATTTTTAAACCTGCAGCACTGTGGGATCAGACCTGGTACATATTTTAATCTATTATGGGGAGTCCTCTCTATTACATTTTTCCAAAACTTATACACGCACACATTTCTGCCATTGTTGTTGTTCTTCCAAGCTGGCTGACTGCTCCCTCTAGCACAGGGATGGTACAGTGCCTTTTTGGCTGTAAAGCTCTCCACACTCACTGATGAAACTGAGAAATAAAAAAGTAATAATAATGATAAGTGGACTCAGTTCTAAGACCACGTCTACTAAGCTCCAGCCTTGGATGTCCACAGGGTAGTTTCTTTGTGAGGCGTGCCTTGATTGTGACCCAATACTCAAACCTGGCATTGATCTATATAGAAAACTGCTTCCGCTTTGTTTGCTTAGTTTCCTGTTGATATGGAGAAGACAGCACAGAGTATTTTTCTCCAAACAGTATGTTGCTCTGTGCTCTCCAAAGGGTCCTGTCCTCAGCAGCCCTGCTCTGTTCCTGTAAACTCAAGGCAGTGGCTTCCTTTATAGAATTGATCCATCTCAGCTGTGGCCAAAGGGTTTATCTTTTATATTCTTAGAAACATAGAAACTTATTCTTGATGAAGCCAAATCCATTTAGGTTTAGCTGCCTGCCAAGACAAAAGAGTTTGGCTTTGTTTTTCTGAAGTGAGATAGGGCACCCATCTGACACTGTTCTTATAAATAATATTTAATACAAAGGCCTGACTTAATATAACACTTAACACAAAAGCCGGTTCAACTAAGGGCTTTATCATGTGTACTGAGCACTGAACATCATTCAAATCAGGTTGCGTGTGTCTGGTGACACCATCCCTACAGTCCATTTGCAGACGGAATTGCTTCCTGTCCATCAAACCGGTGCAGTTGCCCTTCCTCTTTTACGTCAGGCAAAGAGCGGGGGTGAACAAAGGGGGTGGTATTTGAAATTTCCTGGCATCTTTGAATGCAACCCTTCTCCATCAGTCTGCCAACATGCCCCAGAGCTTTTCTTCTGGCCCTGAAGGAAAAGATGGATGAAACACCGGAAGCTCTCTGCACCAGTGGCCTGCAGTTCACCACTGTCCCCAACAGCCTTCCCCAAACAGGTGACTCCAGATGTTTCAGACCACAGCTCCCAGAATTCCAGACGACTGGCTGTGCTGGGAGGGACTGATGAGAACTGAAATTCAAAACATCTGCGGGGCGTCGGGTTCGGTTTGGCAGAGACCTTCCTGTGAGGTACAGCCTTGCTCTGTGTTAGTTGTATGGAGGAAGTGGAAGAGAAGGATTCACCCAGATTTGTTCCAGAGGATTCTCACAACCCTCTGGAGATTTGAGGGGCACTCAGGGTGCTGTAGAGGAAGGAGGAGAATTGATCTACTAGCACTGTCCATTCATTTGGCAGAAAGTGTCCGTTAGATAAACCCCTGGACTGTAACCTCCTCAGGGCAGGGACCTGCCCATCTGGTTTATGTTAAAGCAAAACTAATTTGTACCTGTAAAGCATTATGCGCATGATGCTGCTTTGTAAACACCTTTAATAACTAAGGTGGCTGAGCATGATATTGACACTGTAGGTACATCACATGTGTGAAAACTAAGTGAGGGCAGGAAAATTTGCATCTAGATTGCTCTCTGTGGCCCTTTCCTCTCTCTTTTTCTTCTTGTGAGAACATTTCACACTTGACAGGAGAGCTCTCGTTCTGGTTTAGCAACCAGATATCAGATGACTTCTCTGTGTAATATGACCAAGCGATTGCATAGAGAAGTCAAGAAATTCCGCTTTGACAGATTAGGAAAGATTCAATTAAAATGTGGCAAAGAAGCCAGATCCCAAAGGTGGCAATGTTTTGTTTTCAAGGTGCTTTGCAAACAAAGGCTTTTAAAAACAACACACACTCTCTGAATCCACAGAAGGACAGATTGCCTTTAGAGAGCCAATGGCACAAGGGTGGAGTTCTGGCCACAGGTATTAATGCAATTTGAGCTTCCCGGAAAGATTTGTCCTCATAAAGGCCTTTCCCATGGGACCCTGCCCGGTCCTGAAAGGAAATGGCAAGGCCTCAAACTAATGACACCTTTGGACTATCACCAGGGAAATAAAACACCACTGAATAGCCATGATTAAGGCAGGTGTCTAAAGGACATCTGTGCAAAATGCAAAAATTGTCCATGACAAGTGGGTAGTTTGCAACATAATCCCTCTTCCTCTATGGCTCCAGGCATTCAGTTTCATTCAGGCTTTTAAAGAGACCGTTTCCTGTTCACCTATGGTGAGGAAAATGCTTTATCCAGGGGATCAGGAAATGGATAGATCACCCAGACACCAGTAGGCTGAATTTTCCCTGGCTTTTCTTCACATATTACTTTTAATTTCATCAGCAGTTCTTCTCTCTTTTCAGATTACTCACCAGTGCATTAGATTAGCTTGGTTCAGTTTAAAATGTTTTTATTTGTTTTTGATCTGATGCTTATCTTCCTTGTGTATTTCCCATTCCTGGCAATAAACATACAATAATAATACATTAGTTAAAATAAGTTTTATTTGAGAAATTATAATCCTAAAAAACAAAAAGAAAACTACAAACAACATCCATCATCAAAAACATCGAGCCCGCTGGGTCAGCCCCACACCCTTCTTTTTTCATTTATGATAACTTAAAAACATATTTAAATCTATGTGAAGTTCCGTTTCTCTAGCCAATAATAAAAAAAGTCCCAAGTTTGATAGAAGTCAGTATCTTCCTTCTCCTTCAATGATAAAGTCAATCTATCCATTTCTGCTCAGTCCAGGATCTTTTTTAGAATCAGTTCGTCGGTGGGTAGTTCTTCACTTTTCCAGTGTTGGGCAAATGCAATCCTCACTGCAGTGGTTACATGTAAAATCAAATACATTTCTTGTTGACTAATGTCCTCTGGTATAATGCCTAATTTAAAAAAACTTCAGGTTTATAAGCTAAGGATTTTTGTAACATTTCCTCGAGCCATTTATGTATTTTAATCCAATGCTTTTTCACAACATATGATAATAATAAATTAAATAGCTAATCACTTGTTGCCCAAACTCAGCTGCTTAATGGGGCCTCCTACTCACTACATCTGCCAGCACCAAGCAGAGGAACGTGGAGAAAATCTTGCTATTTGCTGAGCTTCTGGTGAAATGCATCTGGGCTCAGCTCCACCAGACACCAGCATTTTTCAAATCAGATGTTGACTCCTGGCAATGCTGTTATAAAACCTTCCATATGAAAGATAGGACCTCATAAAAATCCTATTTTATGAGTGAACTGTCCATGCATTCCCTTTTAGCACCAGGTAAATGGGGGACAGAGAGGCAAAGAGGAGTCCAAAGGAGTCTATGACCAAATGCGCACTGACTGGGTGGATGCACCTGTAACTCTTTGCTCTTGGACTAGAGACTGACCTGTGAACCTGGTTGCATTTGCTGGCCCATGGACCTGGGCACACCCATGTGATGAAACACGGAACATGGCTACAGAAACGTTTGCTGAATCCCTGAACAAGCTCAAGGAAGTCCATGAGAAGGAAGTCCAAGGTAAGAAAACCTTTGGGGAGCCATGATTAAACTTGGGGCTGTGGTGTTACACAATCATTCAGATCATTAGACTCTTTTTAAAATAATAATTAACCCTGAAGGCTGAGGCTTCATCCAGAAACACAGGAGAACTACATGCTGTGGCAGGTGAAGGGTTTTGCCTGCCACAGCATGGTACCTTCCAGTTGTTTTGGACCTTCAAGTCTTGGTCAAAGGAAGGATGAGAGATGTAGTCCCAAAATCTAGAGGACTTGGTTGAGGAAAGCTGGATTAGGTAGGAGGAATTCAGTCTGCTTTGGGTAGGGCAGCCCTTGCCCCAAAGAGTCAGGTTTGCAATGCCTGGGTGAACCTTGCTCTGACTTTCCTCCAGGTGGTAGCTACAAGTAGGAGTACTTTTCCTTTGTTAAGCTGATGCACCAACTTTACCCATTAATAGAAAGGGGAGCTCTGTTTCTTTGTTTCCTTATCAATCTAATATTTATAATCCACCTCCCTTTTTCATAAAAGGACCCCAAAACTCCACCATATCAATGCAATGATGATTCCTTCAACTATGCATTAAAACAGGGTGTTGGATTTCTTCCACCTGGAGGGCCAAATTCAGTTCTGGGGAAGCTGTTGCAGAGGGCACATACCAGTGGTGGGCAAGGTTAAAGTAAAGCAGACTGTGGTCAAAATGCCAACAGACTTTGACTTAAAGCTTTCATTTTTCAAGCCTTGGAAGGATCATTTCACCTTCTTAGAATGGGGAAGGAGCAACTTTGTAAAAACCAGCTGATGCTTGGGACGCCTCTTCCAACCCGAATCTACTGTGACCTACCCGTAGGACCTTCTGCTAAGTGCCATCTCCAGATGGATGGTAACACGGGAGCAGGCCTTCTTAGCAGTGGCCCCCACCCCACAGAAAGCTGAGTGGTGGAGTCAGCCCATCTCATAATTGCTGCCCCTTTTGTCTTCTGCCTTCAACTTTCCCTGGCATTATGGTCTTCTCCAGGGAGTCTTGCCTTCTCGTGATGTGTCCAAAGTAGGACAGTTTCATTTTTGCTTCCAGGAAAAGTCTCTCTTGATTTGATCTAGGACACACTTGGTTCTCTTTCCATCAGTCCACGGTGCTCACAAAGCTCTCCTCCAGCACCATGTTTTGAATGCATCAATTTTCTTCCTGTCAGCTTTCTCCACTGTCCAGCTTTCATGCTTGATCACGGTGATCCAGAACAGAATAGTGGGGATGATCTTGGCCTTGGTGTCCATGAAATGTCCTTACAGTGGGTGATCTTTTCCAGTTCCTTCCTTGCTGCTCTCCCAGGCTTAGCCTCCTTCTAAATTCTTGGCTGAGGGCTCTCTTTGAATTGACGATTGAACCAAGATATACAAAATCTTACAGGATATCTATGACTTCATTAACAGATATTCTAACAGGCAGCTGGAGTTGCTGTGAAGTAGGGTTCTGTGGGAGCCAAAAACTGTGGGTTCAAAGGAGCTGTTTAATGTGTTGAGTGCAATCCCACCTCCGTCTTATCCTTTGGAACATTTACCATGGTTTCCACTTTGTGGTGGTGCCAGGTTGGTTTTGGAAACTGGCCAGTGGTCCAAAGCGATTGCCAACCCATGCTGCAGATGGATCCCATGCCATTTCTCATGTCATACGACGTTCAGCCCCAATTCCAGGCCTTGACTGTACCTTCTTCTTCACTTTCAGGCCTGCAAACAAAACTGAATCAGCTGACTGAGGAGAGGTGTCGGTGAGTGGAGTGGATAATGGTTACGTTTTCTACACTTTGGTGGCTGAGCTTAGATTGTATGAGGGTGGAGAAGTTGAATTTCTTTGAACTGGAGAGCCGAATTCAGATTGAGAGAAGCACCTGAGGCAGACTTCTATCTATTTTTGATTTTCTCATTGCATTTATACCCCACTTTTTATGAGAAACCCCAGGTGGCTTCGGCACTGTTCTTCTCCTTTTCACCTGCAGAACAACCACCTGGTAGGGTAGGCTAGGCTGAGTCAGTGACTGGGCCAAAGTGGGTCACGGCTGAGCAGGGGCCAGAATCCAGTTCCCAAGTCCCAGTCCAATAGTCTAATCTCTCTACCATCCTCCCTCTCTCTCTGGCAAACAAGGGAATAATTGTTTGTGGGAATGGACAACCACCTATCTTCTCACTTTGCTCCTTGTTCTCACCCTGAACTAGGGACACTCAGAGAATTGAAGAACTCTTTGCTAAAAACCACCAGCTGCGAGAACAGCAGAAACTCCTTAAAGAAAATGTGAAAGTGCTGGAGAACAGGTAAACGTCGGCATGCCTGCCACTGCTCTGACCCTACCACATCTGCTCTGCTTCTTTCCAGTGACCCTGAGAGGAAAGTTCTCTTCCCTCCCTCCCTTATTGCTAATACCCATCTGGCCAGATAGGTCTGCCCTCCACACCTCATGCCCAAGCCCAGCTGAGATGGCAGCCATACAAGTGAGGTTGGTCAGGCTGAGAGCCCATGACTGGCCCATAGTCTCTCAGTGAGTTGCATGACTGAGTGGGGCCTAGGACTTGGGTCTCCTAGATCCCCAGTCCAGGGTTCCAACAACCCCATCACATTGACTCTCTGCTTTGAGTTTCATCACAGAAAGCACTGTCTTTCCTACTTTTCCATGGCATAGCCTCTAGGTGGCACTGTGGGGTAGCAGAATAGTCTGACTATGCAAACAGAAAAAAGCACTTTGCTTTGGTAATTAAAGGACACACCTTCTTTTCTCTTTAAAAAAAAAAAAAGCACCCCTTGCAGAATGTACTGTTTAGAAACAAATCCAGAAGGTCAAAACGTGTAAACAAGCATAAATAAGGAACAATGAATGCATGATAGAAAAGCTCTTGGTCCCAGAAGAGGCACTCTCAGCTGCCATGGAAAGCCCCACCTGAACCAAGGTAGAAAAAACAAGATATTCAAGGCACTGAAGGAGGAACAAGGGCAGAAATCCTCTGACACTGGAAGAGCGTAGGACTGATACAGAACTGAGACTGGAGTGCTCCATCTAATGGGTGTCTAAGCCATAAGATTAAACCCTAAGGGCACAGTCCTGTGCAAGTTTAGACAGCAAAGACCTATGACCCTCCAGTGGGCATTCGAGGACATTCTTCTGCCTAAACATGCATAGGATTTGCACCTTTCAGGTGTTAAGTCTTTCATATCCTACAGGGCTAAGTTGGTGAACTTTCACGCATTCCTCTGTCATGAAGCCACTGTTCTCAGTTGAAAAAGGACACTTCGGGGCATTGGGGATGGAGAGATCCTCCGTGGGATCATGGTGGGGCCGCCAATCAGAACCATGCCCAGGCGGCTTCTGCTTTGAACATGCCAAACTCATTTTCTGAACATCACATCCTGGTGAGGAAAAGAACTGGATTAAACAAGCAGTGCCTGCAACCCAATGCAGGATTCTAGCTGCTGCATTCAATTTGCCGCCACTCCCCTTTCACTCCCCATTTCTTTCCCCAAGCATCAGTCAGCATTCTGCAGGCATGGAGCACGCTCAGTCCCTATTGGGCTCCTTCAGGGATCCCTCCTCCACTATTTTATTTATTCATTAAAACATTTCTATGCCGCCCCGTTCGCCAAAGCCTCGGAGCGGCTCACAACTATGCTCCCACCCCGCAAAATGCTTTCTCCTTATGCAAACTTTGGGGGTCCCCCAAGACAGCAAACAGCCTATCCCGTGTAGCCCCCACTATTTGGCCACCTATGCAATGGCACTGGTCCCCCCCACCCCCGTACATCAGAGAGAAAGATGCAACAAGGATGCTTCCAAATAGCCTTTCTGTCCTGGGAAAGTCACGTGTGTCCCTCCGACTTGAAGGTTGCGAGCCGGTCTCTGCGACAGATGCCAAGTCACCCAAGAGCTTGCGAAGAAGAAGCAGTATGAGTTTGGGAGAGCCCATTTTCAGAGTCTACAGCACATCTGCATCCTCAGTAAGTACGCACAGTGGGGAACTGGAGTCCTCTCAAGTCTGGGGTGATTGGAGGGTGGTGAGTGGGACAGATGTGCAGATCTGAAACACACACAGAGGGGCAGATACCCTGGAAGGTTAGTATCCCCACCAACACTCTTAATCCAGAGTTGCTAAGAAAGGGGGAAAGGCTTTAACCTTTCAGCCCCATTACCAACAATCCAGATCAAGGTTGCTAGCAGTGCGAGAAGGCTTTTCTTAATCCTGCAGAGAATCTAGAAGTAGAAAGCATTGGTAAAGTAGCAGATCAAAAGCATTAGGGGTTAATATTGGCTTCCTTGCACATGTTGTGCTTCAGATAGGGTGTTTCTTTCTCTGACTTTCCATGTTATATTACATGACCACTAGGTGGTACTGTGGTGCAGCAGAATTGCACAAATTCACCAGGGTTTCATGCCACCATATCCAGCTAATACCACCTTTCCTCTATCTAAAGATAACCTTGTGAAAATGACCAAAAGGAACAGGACAGGTCGTGGAGGATTATGGTGTTGTATGAAGTGCCTGCAAACTAGCATCAGTGAGGAATCACAAGTTCACATTAGATGCCTTGTATAGAAAAGTTCCAAGTCTTTTCCTCCATTTTCCCAGCAGTCCTGATCTGGTTTATTATTTCCCCAGTACTAATCAGCAGTGAAGGAATTCCAAACTGGATTAAGATCCTTGAAGAAGGAAAAGCCACTTCATCCTCTCTACACCACCTTCAACCTAGCAATTCTGATCAAGAAGGAAAAAGGTGGTCCTGCTTGTGGGAATTGCTAGGAGGGGACAGGGCTGCCTGCCTCCCCCCCGCCCCCCATGCTTCCAAGAGAGATGTTTCACTACCTGCCAGTGCAACCAATCAGAATTCCCTATTCCTTCTGCAATCCTCATTGTAGCTGGTGGGATCCCAGCTGGCTCTTGGATGGCCATATGAAAGACCTACACCAGGTGGAGATGAACATGAGCAGAAGTGGCCAATGGCTGCAGTGCCTGTGGGACAGTGGGTCCACTCCAGGTTGCAGTCTGAACTTTGAAGGAGCTATCCATGATGCTGAACTCACCCCTACTTTAAGGTTCACCACTGCGGACAGTTCCTTTAAACACAGGCTGAACTGTGGAGTGGATGCACAACCTCACTGCCATGGGAGCCACCAGCTGTTCCTGGACAGAGCTACCTACTGAGTGGGATGTCTGCAATGTTTGGACTCTCCTTGGGGGCTAAGGGGACTGGCCACTGCAGAAGCAGTAATTGCACACCCAGGCTGTTCTCCCACCTCACCCAGCAGCTGGGGTTGCACATGCAAAGTGCTTTCTCATGTGAGAAAGCTATAATCCATTGGTTGTTGGTGCTTCCGCTTCACTCAACTAATGTGCATTTTGCCATAAGCACAAGTGTTCTCTGCACTGCTTAAGCAAACAAGTCAGGAGAAGGTTATTTCGGGTCGCCCATCACATGATGATTAGGTGAAGGGGCAACGGCCAGCTAGAGCCATTTATAAAGGCAAATATGATAAAAGCTGGGAGTATTTGGAGCAAATGTGAAAATAGGTGAGCAAGTAATAATAATTATTTCATAATTGATAATTATATTTATATATCTTTATAAATATCAATAATTTGTTTGTTTGTTTGTTTGTTTGTTTGTTTTAGGACATTTATAGGCCGTCCATCACTGTTGTCTCTGGATGGCTTACAATATAATATAAACTAAATCCTAAATAAAATAAATTAGCTATACCATGACTGAATATATAAAAATAGAATGGTTAAAATAAGTTAAATAAATAAATATACAATTAAAATCAATTAACATTAAAATATTGGTCAAATAAAAAGTTCTTGACCTGGCACCAAAAAGCATATAATGACGGCACCAGGCGGACCTCTCTAGGGAGCGCATTCCATAGTCGGGGTGCCACCACAAAGAAGGCCCTCCTCCGAGTGCTCTGTCTCCTGACCTCTTTCAAAGAGGGTTCCCGGAGGAGGGCCTCTGCTGCCAATCTTAGGGGGCAGGAGGGCATATAGGGAAAAAGGCGTTCCTTTAGGTATTCTGGTGCCAAGCTGTTCAGGGCTTTATAGGTAATAACCAGCACCTTAAATTGAGCCCACACTTCAATGGGAAGCCAATGGAGCTGACAGAGGACTGGAGTTATGTGAGAGTAACGCCCAGTCCCCAACAGCATCCTGGCAGCTCTATTTTGCACCATCTGAAGTATCCAGACCGTCTTCAAGAGTAGCCCCATGTAGAGCGCGTTACAATAGTCCAAGCAGGAGGTAACCAGTGCATGTATATAGTAATTATAAATACTATTATAACTTTATTATAATTATTACTAAATTATAAATGTTATAGCTATATTATTATATTAATAAATTATAAATATGATTATTTTTTCCTTACATAGCCCTGCTGTACTCTATTTTATCCTTGCAACAACAACCCCACGAGGTAGGGGCTTGAGCCAGTCTGTGACTGGCTCAAAGTCACCCAGTCAGATTCACGGCCAAGAGGGACTAGAACCCAGATCTCCTGGGTCCCCAATCCAGCAGGCTGACCTACTATCCCATAATAACAACAACAACAACATTATGAAAACAGTGATAGTAATGGTAGCAACAACAGAAAAAATAAGCACTTTTATAACAGCACAGAACAACCATCTCCAGCTTGGATTCTCAGACAGGAGACCCAACACAACTAGTGGGCACCAGGCTGGGGGAGTCTCCTCAACCTTGCGGGCTTTCGCTGAGTAATCCTCATAGTGGAGATTCCTTCTAGAAGTTCTGAGTGACAAACAAGTGGTTTATTTCAGCTTTGTAGCCACTCCCTGAGATCAGTTGGGCTGAGTGAGCGTGGCTGAATCAGTCACTCATTAAGCTGTGTGGCTTAACTCAGCCTGCAGTTCCTGGCCCAGGTCTTACATTCTGTCCCAGCCTTTCCCAACCTTGCCCTCTCATAGAGTTGGACTACAGCTCCCATCTACCCCAGCCAGCAGGTTCATTGGGCAGGGGTTGTAGTCCAACATCTGAGGAGCCTGCAGATCAGATCTCTGCCCCAGTTCCATTATGCCCTTTCCCATCTCTCAGCTTCCTCTTCCCTCAATCAAACTAGCAGCAGTGGCCAACTCCACAGGGGTGTTGTGAAGACAAGCCCTATAAAAACTCCCCAGCACTGTGTTGGTTTAAACGATCCAGCTTCCATGTCTCTCGGGCATATCCAGAGGTGCAACTCAGCGTTCCTTCGAACTGGCTTTCGGAAGGGAGCACTGGGTTCTGCTCTGGGGTTTGGGACAACCAGGGTCTGCCTTTCGCCTCCATCACTGCCCAGTGACCCTAACCCAGCAATGTTATTCATGCCGCCTTTACAGCTAATGAAATGAATAAACTGAGGGAAGAAAACAAGAGCTTGAAAGACGAACTGAAGAGGCTGCACGGCACAGAGTAAGCTCTCCTGGCTTTTGACCACCCCTTTGTGTTTTAGCTTCCTCTTGGTCCAACCTAATGTCCAACCTAATGCCAGTTGATGGTCACAAACCTCCTTCTCCGCGCATGAGAGGCATAGGAATTCCTCTGTCCTAAGGCAGTATCCCCCAAGGTCTATCATTCCCTGCTTTACATGGAATCGTCTCTCAGGAAAGCAGCCCCTGCATATGTGCAAGCTTTTGAATCCCTCAGAATTCTTCATCTGGCTAGGTGGTCCAAAAAGCAGGGAATGGGGGGAAAAGAGCTGAGCCCCACAATCTGGCCCAGGGTTGGGTCCTGGGTCTGGCTGTGCACATTGGGAAAATCTCAAAATGGAGGTTTGCAGCTGGAATGAATTCCTCAGAGGGCGATGCTGCGGGAGGCAGAGTAACTCTAGTGATGCCTTTTAGCCCCACCAGTTAAGAGTTCACAGCAGGACCAGCTGAGTGATTTTGACTCGCTGTACGCATCACTTTAAGAGAAGCAGCTTCCTGGCTCTGATGTGAGAGAAACTGAGTTTTTCTGAAGATGGCCAAGCCCAGAACTAGACTGTATTGTTTTAGCCTTTTGATGGGAGCTCATATAACTGAATATTTACAAAAATAAGTAAGGTTTCCTCCACATAGAAAACTAGGAGGTCAAATAGTTGCTATTGGATTAATTTATTCTTAATGGCAACAAATGTAATTGCACCTACTCAGATTTGGGGATTAAGGGCTTGTGTCAAAAGCTTCTCCTACCAAACCACTGACTCAGTCAAAGTGCCTTAGAGTTAAGTGTGCAGCACCAAGGAGCACTGAAGTGCATTTTGTAGGAAACATCTATTGCTGGCAGTAACTTTGCTGCCAGCAGGTGGAGCTGTTGCTTTACTTAAATGCATCAGAATTGCAACTGTAGGGGAGAGGAGGTGGGTTGGCCAACTGCCCAGGATTGCTCTGTGATTAATAGGATGCTAGTGGGGAAGAGGATGGGCTCTCTGGGAACAGAAAGCTGGACAAGTTCGGCCTTTGGTCTGGCCCAGCATGCTTCTGGTTACCTTTGTAACTTGCCCCTATATAAAGATATTTCACTAAGATCTGCCTTCTCTGCGTGTCCCTACGTTTGAGGTACAATGGAACCTGCCAGAGATGGTGCTTCCACTTCAGTGGTGTCCCAACTTTGGAAGGCCGCCTTATTTGCTTTGCTACCCATTAAACCAGGGGTGCAGAACGTTCACTCTGAGGGCCAGATCCTATTTTGGAGAAGGCCTGGGGGGCTGCATTCTAATGGTGGGTGGAGCCAAGGGCAAAAGGGTGGAAGAGCAAAGCTGTCCATCACCAAGCTGTAAGTGATCCCTTTCGAGCTTTTAGACTTGGGCAAAAACTGCACAGACGACAGGAAACCACTCAGTGGCCTATGTCTGTGGCTCAGGGAAGGGAACATGGCTTTCTGGGGGCCCCTGAAGGGTGAGGTTAAGACCCCTAGATTTGGCCCCAGGCCTGAGGTCTTGCACCACTGAATGGCATTTAATTCATTCAGTGCTATCTATCTATCTATCTATCTATCTATCTATCTATTTAAACAACTTACATGCCGCCCCATCACATGAGCCTCGGGGCGGCTTACAATCATAACATCCTGCATAAAATACAAAAACAAAAAACAAAAAAATCATCAACTAATTAAAATACATAAAATAAAATAAAATAAAATAGTGGACACAGCCTGGTCAATTTAAAATCAACAAATAAACCATTCTTTATTCAGTATCTGTCTGCTGCGTTGCCATCTGCTATTTCTGGTTTGTTGTTTATAAACTTTTAAAAAACATTATCCGTTGCAAGCTGCATGGCTGTGGAAAAGCAGGATATAAATGCGAATTATAAGGACGCCAGCCTCACCCTCATGCAAAGGGGGCATTGAGACAGTTCCTCCCGTTCCCCCCAACTCAATTTCTTCCTTCAGTTCATTCATTTTCTTCATGTTGCAACAGAGACCGGCCAAAGTGTCTGAAAGGATCATCTAGAGAAGGGAGTTCAGTTCCAGAAGCGCCACTGCCCTTGCTCTCCTCACGGAGCCGGAAGTCCAGCGCCGAGAAAATCACAAGCCAGGAAGCGGACGATGAACGCTGCGTATCTCTTGGGCGTCCCCTGGAAGGAGGCGAGTCCTTCACTTGCACTGTACTTGGTTCCACACCCAGAGAATTGGTCAGCCCATCAGAACCTGGGTGCCCCCAGGAAGATCTTTAAAAAATAGAACCCTACCCAAATCTACACATTTCTTCATGAACATGATGGGAAGAACTTGTGGGACCATCAATCAATCATTTATTCGGTCATTGACCAGCCAATAAATAAAGCACAAAGTGGCAATTAGTTAAAAATTAAAAAATGCAGTACTAATAAAACTACAGTAATTAAAACAAGAAAATAAAAGCATTCTGTTAGAACCTAACAACATTTCGGGTTGATTCTACCAAGCACTGAACAATATTTGGCTGTAGTCAAGGGGATAAAATCGGATTGATCGGATAAAAGTAACTTAAGATAAAAAGAATTGGTCATAGAATCATAGAATACTTGAGTGGGAAGGGGCCATGAAGGCCACTGGGTTCAACCCCCTGCTGTTGCAGGACACCAGTTCACGCCATCCCACTCCCCTAAAACATGTGGGAAGAGCTGAGATACATTTGTCCAGCCTGGGCCAGGGCATGGAGTGCTGAGCCTTTAAGAGTCTCAGTCCGGATCTCCATATAAGTCCACCGTTTTAGTACTGTATTAAAATCACCACCTCTTTTCAGGCAGGGTTCTCTTTAACAGCTATGTGGCAGGCAGGTACAATGACCCTTTCCATGAACCTATTGATCTGGGGTGATACTAGCAGATGAGAATTTAGTTTTGATTCATTTGTTGGCAGTGCAGGGAACATATCAAAGTTCCAAATCTCTTCATGTATGGAACAGAAATAATGTGAGATTTAAAAAATAATAATGCAGACGTCAACAAAGCCATCAGTTTGTGTATCCTCATCTCCAACGCCTCCTCAAGCCAAGAATAAATTATTTGTAGTAAGGATGATAATAGCAACTATTTTCTGCAGGGACCTCACTAAGAGTTCTGCAAAGAGTGGCTTCTATCTGAAAGGCTGTTTGGAGTATGGTTTTGCTTTTAAAGCAAGGTTTTAAAGGACACATGCAGATTTTTGCCACTGCACCATCGCCAAATATTGAAAGTAAATTCGGCAGCGGCGGTGAAGGCTGCAAAAGGGGCCAGAGAGCTTCATGTAGCCCTCCCTGATTTAGAGCATGATTTATAAAATAATTGAACAAGCTTTACCTTAAATAAGTGATGGTGGCCCCTATCTTTCCTCCTTCTAGATCAGTCTCCAGGACAAAGAAGTTCTCCAGGTACCAGGATCTCCCCTAGTGTTATTCTCCAGAGCAAACACGCTTTGGAAATGGTATGCACTGGCTTGGCCCGTCTTTCCTTCTCTCTCCTTCTTCATCAAATGTGATTTCTGATCTTATGCTGAGAGTTTTCCTGATATTCCACAAACGTAAATTGGAACTTGCAGGGAACAAAGAGGGGGAAGCCCTCCTCACAAAGATTAATAGTTTAGAGTCACATGTGCTAGTCCACCTTGGAGTTCCCTGGATGTAAAGAGACAAAGTGGAAGGTCCTGTGGCCACACTGCTGGACTGGTGTTCAAATCCCACCTCCACAAAGGATGTGAGCATTTTTAAAAAGTGGCAAATATATGCACTAGACAAATAGATTTAATTAAGAACATTTAATTGTCATGTGCCCTGTTTCACATGACTTGATAAGCCAGAGCATGGTCTGAGTTGTCTATGAAATGTGGGTTGTGGTTGAATCCTGGGTTAATGTTTTGAGTGAACCCAGTTGAACTAACAAACCATGGTTCTGATCACCACAAACAACCCACAAACACCACATTTCACAACCCAACAACAAAACATGGGCTGTCTCTGTGGGAAAGCTAAATAAGCCAAGGTGTGCTCTTTGACTGTACGAACCAGTCCTGTGTGTAAACAGGAAGTCAAAGGGTGGGCCAACCGTCTGGGGGAGTGCGAGCCCAGAAAAGGCACCCAGGTATTTCCAGACAAGGCTTTTATTGTGCAATTTGCCTGCCTCATTCACGGACATTAACGAGAGGGTCCAGACGATGGCAACATCACCATGCTTCCTACTGCTGTTTCAGTCTTTCTTCTTAGCACTTTGAAAAAATCAGTCGTGGAAAAATAGCTCCCACCTGGTGGTTTGGTGCTTGGAAGCTTCCATCTGGCAGCACTTGCAGATGGGTGACTTGCTTTCTGCCAGCATCTTTAAGTGGTTACGGCCCCCTGAGACTCTGAGAGGGAGACCGGGGTCTACTGGAGTGGTTTAAGCTAGGATTTTCCTACTTATGCCAAACCCATATGTTGCAAACAAGCCAGATTTGATTTGTGAGAGCCACCTTGGTGTAGTGGTTAGCATGGCGGGCTGGAACGCAGAGATGCAGGGAGCGCACTGCGTAACTTTGGGCCAGCCACTGACTCTCAGCCTGACCGACCTCATAGGGCTGTTGTGAGGGTGAAGTGGAGAAGTAAAGGAGGGCCCCATGTAAGCTGCCTCGGGTTTCCTGGCAGAGGAAAAGAGGCAGGAGGTAAATAGTAATCTAATATTGATAATACAAAATGGCAGGCTGAGCTTTTCTACACAAGAGTGTTAGTCACTATAGTGCCTTTTGATTTCGTCACGAAATTGAGATCCAAGCTGTATTCAAAGAGCTTTTCCTTTTCTGCTTTTCTTCTAAATAACTTCTAGGGGGTGCTATGCTATAGTGGAAAGACAAAGTAGGCAAATATGTTTTCTTTTGCCATCAGCAGTAGCACACCCTTTTCTCCACTTAAAAAAACAGAAAAGTACTCTAGAAAAAGAAGCAAAACTAGAAGATCCTGGTGATTTCTAAAGAACTTGTAAATAACTGGACATAAGGAATCACAAGGGCACTATAAATGTTTAATGCGGAAAAGGAATAATAATAATAATAATAATAATAATAATAATAATAATAATATAAGTGTCCAATCTCATGGCTCAGAGAATTGGGTATAAGTGTGCAACAGTGAGAAACAGTGTGCAAGATTTGCCCCAGATCTCCTCCTGGGAACTCTGAGAAGAGCTTCACCAGTTTGCTCTTTTCATCTCTCTGGTCAGAAGATGCAAACAAGCAATAATTGAGCATTCTCTCTTTTTGTCTCTCCTCTGCTATTAAGAGTTCTCAGAGGATAGCAAACCCATCACGTGGGACAATCGCATTAGTGAAACCCGGCTCAAGATCTTGCTCTCAGGAAAGGGATAGTCCACCCCCCATGAGCAAAACACCACCATCTCCTCAGCCTGAGCAAAGTCCCAGTTTTGATGCGTAAGTAAAAATTTAGGAACTGCTTTGCTGGCTTGCTGGATTGAGGGCAGTGGGGAGGTGGGTACTTATCTAACTGAACCACTGGAAAGTTTTGTTACCTCCAAAAATACTCCCAGTCCAGGCCTCTTCCCTAGATTTTCAGCTTTCATTTAAAAGGGAGAGAACAAGTTTCTAGTCCCTTTGCTTAGAAAAAAAATTGAACTGATATTCTCCACCCAGTTGCTCTGAAGATAAAGCAGGATACAGTCCTTCAGGTAAAAATGTAGAAACAGAGTGAGTCACAAGGGCTTCCTGGGCCATCTAGTCTGACCCATGGCTCCAGCCGGCTCCATTCATGACATGCCTGTATGTGCCGCATTGGAATGACTAACAGACACATGATACTTGGAGTTCTATTAAAACTGGAAATATAAAAGCTTCAGGACAAATGACTGTATAAACCAACCTTCAGCTATATCTAGGCGAGTTTCAGGTTCTACCACACATAGTTCTCTGAACAGTTTTTAGTGGATTGTCTGTTGAATCCTGACCAGTGAATTCAGGGTCTAGACTTAGGAAGCCAACTTCTGCCCCTAAGCAGCAATGGAAGGGGGCATTTTGGATTCCCAGATCCATGGCTGCTCTGGTAGCATTCTGACCTACCCCACCTCCTCGCAGCCTGTTCAAGGAGCTTGGGAGGGTGCCCTTGGGGAGGGGTAAAAGGGAATGTTTTAGAGGTGGAAAAGCAGGAGACTGGAGATGCCAGGCCCAAACTATCCCAAAGCCGCTGCACCCTCCTTGTTTGTTTGTTTGTTTGTTTGTTTGTTTAGAAGGCTTCTATGCCACCCCATTCGCCAAAGCCTCGGGGCGGTTCGCCTTCCCTTTGCCTCCAGGATACCACAGCTAAATGTGAGGGGAGGGAAGCAGGATGGGAAGTCAAAGGAGCCATTATCACCTTTGCTGCTTCTTCCATGACATACTGGGTGTCTGCAAACCACCAAATTCACCATAGCATTGGTTTATAACAGGCTTTATATCTAGCTCTCTATCAGGGATCCTCATAGGAGCCTGAAGCAGGATTCCCCTCCAGAGATTGGGTCAATGCAGTTTGTTCACTGGGCCTGAATATGGCACAGGCCCGGGATGAGGCCCTGTGGGAGAGCACTCACATAACGACTTTGCCACCTCAGCATTTTGCCCAGGAGATCAAACACTGTCAGAGTAGATGGAGCGGAGGCACCCAAAAGGGTGCATGCCCTGAGCCTGTGTCTCTTGAGTACGGCTGACCATTATGTTTCTTTTAGTTATTTAAGAGCCAGCAACTCAGAGTGCCATGAACTTGCCTCTCCTTATGAGACTCTGAAGTTTGCCACCAGAAAGGAGCAACTTTGCCTGCTCAACCAGCATTTTGCCCTGCGTCATCGCGGACTCCGGAATAATTCTGGCAGCAGGGAGGGTGGCTTCCCTCCCCACAGAACGAGGCCGCAAGAGGGGTGGGAAGACCAAGCAGCCATCTTGGAACTGCCTGGAGCCATGGTGTATATGAAGGACCGTTGCTTGGAGAACAGACTCCAGTTTCCTAACCCCCAAGAGAAACTCCATAGTATATTGGTTCAGCAGCAAGGCTGCCGGTCCAGGATGGAGGACAGCTTAGACCGCACCGAACCAAGGGCTGGCAAGGACTGCAAAAAAGGGAGAAGCTGCTTGGAAGACTCGGCAGATGGAACTCTGGGGAGGCTGGCCTGGCTCAACAGAGAAGAGCTGGAGCAGGCAGAGAAGACAGAGGCCATGAGGGGGTACCTCACCGAGGCACCTTTGGACCTCTCGGATTATGCAAGGGGAAGAGACAGCGCGAAGCCGGACAACTGGCAAGAGCCCTCCACACAGCATGAGACGGGAAGTCCAGGGAAAGCCCAGAATGAAGACTCTGCACTGCAGAATGCTTGCTTCTCCAGCGGGCACCGGGTGGGGAAGCATCCTGCCATCGAAGAGAAGGAGAACAGAGCCACGTTGCCGGTAAGAAAAAGTAGTCTTTGCCTTAGACTTCCTCTTAGAAGCAACTGTTTCTTGCATCTGTCCTTACACCTTTCTCTGTGTTTGTCCTCCAACAACATTATAGGTGTCCCATATGGAAATATAGAACAGAGATGAATTGCCCAAAATTAGGCAGGGGGATCTTAGTCCTGTGGAAATGTCTGTAAGGGGCTTGATCAGGTTGATATTCCCCCACATTAAACAGATGATGTGTACATGACACGTTCACATTTTTTATACACCTGCATACCCCATCACTACTTGTGCTTCTTGCTTGGTAGAAAGGGGGAGCACATGTCAAATCCATCCATCAGAGCCGGTCAGAGCGTCCAGGTGTTCAAAAACGGGGTCTGGTATATATCACTCATGCTGCACTTGGTTTGGTTCGTGTGGGTTCATGGCTGTCCGTTATAGAGGACTCTCGGGCTAGCGCTCCTCTTTATGTGAAATTTCCACCTGCCCTCTTTCGGCTGACGTGTGCAGTCCCTCTCAGTCCCCACAGGTGGAATTAGAACCCCAGACTTATATCAGGTACAGCATTGATCCATCCAGTCCAATGTTGTCCACCCTGATCGGCTGTAGCTCTCAAACAATTCAGAGAGGGGTCTTTCCAGAGAGGTGATGAAGTGGTGGAGAAACCCAGGATTTGCCAGGGGCGATGCACGTCCTGCATCCCTCAGCGGTGGCCTCTCCCACCTCCCCCATAAAACAGGGCTGGAGTGAGGCTGAGAGGCCCCACCGCGGCTGGGCATCACTGGGCCCATCAGGCTGGGTGGCAGCCTGCAGTAGCGCTGGCCTCACCCTCTTTGTGCTCTCCGCAGACCTCGCTGACCCCTGAGCTTCCAGTTGCTAAGCCAGGCTTGGGCGGTGCCTCTGCCGATCTGGAGACGAGGACGTCGTGTGCTGCAGAGAAGCGAGAAGTGGACCAAGCAGGTAAAATGGAAGAATCGCGCGTGCTTTGAAGAAAGGCCGTGCTAAAGGGCAGTGTTGAGCTGCATGAGTCGTATCGCTGCTCTTGGTCAATGACGCTGAAGGGCTGAATTTGATTTTAAAGACTTTCTTGGGGGCCAGGGCAGTTTCCAGTGGCAAATGGGGCCAAAAGCAAAGGGAGGAGCAGCAGTAAAGGAGCCTAGGCTAAAATAATAGGTGTTTTTGTCTAATGGGGGTGGTGGGGTGGCTGCAAAAGGCAGAAAGCCAGCAGGGAGCTGTTGAGGAAAGGGAGTGAGCCCATCTTGGGTGCTTCACGGATTAGGCCAAACCAGGCCTGCTACAAGAGAGTGGTGGCTTGCGTTTTCAGTGTCAAGGACAGCGCAGCCTCGGCTGAGGCTTCAGGGGAACTGTCCGTGGTCCTGAACCCATTTGTGGGATAGTGGGATTTGTGGGATTTGTGGGATAGTGAACGAGTCCGGGGATTGGGGTTTACAAAGGGGCTGAATCAGGACCATGGCAATGAAGCCGAGGAGTGAAATCCTTTCTCACTGCCCATTTTTTGTAATGAAATGGTGGCGCTCCCTCACAAGAATTCTTTGCCCCACGGGGGGCAACATGCAGGTCCCTGCAAGTTTCTCTCTGCAAGACCAATAAATAAATACATGAACAAGAAGGTGCAAGGGATGCCATTTTTAATTAGAGAACTCAAACTGGACTGGGATTTTTGCTTCTTCTCAGAAGTCGGGGGGGGGGGCTTTTTATCATTGTCAGTGCCTCTCCCCTGTTTTCCAGCCATTTGCATAAGCGAGATAAGTCAGCTATTAAAATTCAGACTGCAGCAGCGGAGAGGAAAGACTTGTGACAAGACTTGTGACTGCCACCACAGCACAGTGCTGCCTTGTGGTTAGTTAATAAATACATAGAAAGGCAGAGAAATTCAAACTCCAGGAAAAAACCATGTAAAGCGCTCATCTTTCCTCCCACAACAAAAATAGAAGAAGCCACAGCCAAGCAGTGGATAAAACCCTCGTGTGCTCTATGATGTAACACCTGAGCTTACAAGAAGCAACCCACAAACTCAGAGGTCAATGACTAGGAAGCTCTATACAGCTTCCTTATAGACTGAAATGATGGATCCTGCCCAGGCTTGGAGCTAAGTGGGATTGAGCTGGGCTAGCATTTGGATGGGAGACTTAAGTCCGACATTGAGCAGGAGGTTAGACCCAATGGCCTTCCAACTTTCTTAGGCCCTTTCCAATTACAGTAAAACCTTGGATTGCAAGTAACCTGGTCTGCGAGTGTTTTGCAAGATGAGAAAAAGGGTTTTCTAAATTTTAACTTGATAAACTCGTCTTGCAGTACGAGTATTAAGCGCGCTTTGCCTGCCGAGCGTCACATCACAACTGAGCGCTGGTTCTTCCCTCTCTCTCGCTATGGGTGTGAGTACAGCATCATCCCCCCCCCCGAGCCCCCCCCCGATCCCCCCCCCTCCCCCCCCCCGAGCACATGAGCGATCGCGCCCACCTCCCACCCAAGTGCACCCACTTCAAATTTTGTGATTAAAAAAAAAAGTTACAGAATGGATTAACCTTATTTACACTGAACCTTATGGGGAAATTCACTTTGATATACGAGTGCTTTGGATTACAAGCATACTTCCGGAATGAATTATGCTCACAATCCAAGGTTTTACTGCATATGATTCTAGTCTAGTCTAGTCTATTCACCTTACTATGCTAAAGGTGGCACAGGACTCTGCCTGTGTTTGCTGTTAGGGGCCATTTGCTTCAAGGAAGAAATGTACATATCTTGTGTTATCCAAACGATTTTAAATCAAACCCCAGTTCAAAACATGAAGGACATTTTTCCTAATTGCCCTAATGAATCCAATTAGTAGCAATACCAGAGTTCACTCACTTCTGTGCCATAATTCCAGGAGTCAGCAATCTTGGGTGACCCAGAATGCTGCTGAATTCACTGAAATTCAGTGCCCCAGTGGCTCAAACAGGCAAAACTGGGTGACCTGGTGCTGAAATTTGGTGATGCCGCAGCAGGGGGAAAAGGGCCTATTTAGCTCTTTTTAAAACAAAGCTAAACGGAACTTTTTCACCACCACTTCATGATACAATTTGAACAGCAACTTAGGACTATGGATTCAGAACTTAAAAATCTACAAGCACTTCTGATTTCTATGCCTTGAAGAGAAAATCTTTGTGTTACTAAATTTCTTCTGCTTCCATAAGGACTAGAAACTTCATCCCTTCCCCTCTTCTGAATGCTCCAGGAAAATATCTGAATCTTCTTCTGCATGAGGAAAGCACACCCTTTTTCCATGAATTGAAAAACTACTTCACTGCAGTAGCTTTACTGGCTGAGCTGGAAAGTAGAGCTGTCCTGGATGGTTTGGTTTTTGTATGTGTCACAGTGTTTTGGGAACACCTAGTCTAGACCTGAGAATCAGGATTTTGAATTAGTGGGAAAGATTATTATTATTCTTTTAAAAGAAGTCTGTGTGTAGATTTACATATGAAGAGATGTAATCAAGGGAGAAAGATCTCTCAACTGAATTCTGGGTGTGGGAAAACACAAAGGTTTTATCTGCTGGCTGTTGGCATATTGACACAACGCTCTGAAAGCACCTTCCGTGTTTATTGGTGTACTTTGGCACTTTCTGACTTCTAGATAGCTCCACGGGTAGAAACTTGAAGGTCTGTAAGGCAGGCTAGACCTGGGTATACAAGGCCCATTTTGGGCCCTGCATTGGCAATCCTACCTCCAAGAACACTGATATAAGTGCAGGCCTGTCGTGGAGAGATCAGAGCACCAAAGCCTATTTGTGCACCCTTGCAAAGACCTTCCCCTTTCAGGAAGTCCTGTCCTGGAGGAACTATTCTCAGCCTTTGCCTCAGGCAGGATTGGTCCCTCCCCAGTGCTGAGAAGTCCCATGATCTTTGCCATCTTTCTGCCAACTCTCCTCTCTACGGAGGTCTCTCTCCAGCTTTGCTTCTTCTTCCTTGAATATGCTAGAGATCACCTTTTGTTCTCTAGCAAGCACCTGCATGCTCACCAATTTGTTTGAGAGAAGTCCACCTGGTTCAAGCCAGTTGACTCTGTTGCAATGTAAGTTCAAGGTCAGGATGAACTTGCCGCTTTGTGATGTTCCATTTTGTTGACATCAGACCGGAGGGATGTGGCACTGATTCACAAAACAAGAGTCAGTCTCCACGAAGGAGTGACTTTTACTGCACTCAAACATTCTTAGATTTTCACAATGGTTTTTTGCTGGGATGAGGCCCATCCCAGCTGGTGACAGAATACTGGCTGCTTCTTTTCTTGGCCTCCCTGTAACGGGGGGATCTGCAAGCAGGGAGAGGCATCTTTCCTCCCAGTTCAGCAACAAAGGACTTCTGGACAATGGCACCATATGTCTGGAACAAGCCAAAGTCTCCTGATGGACCTTCAGAGGTGTGGGCATGTCATTTGTCAGTGTTCGTTTGGTTTACACCCTGACAATTGATGGCTTGGTTCTCAAGGACAGCTGCTGCAGTGGAGAATTAAGTGCCATCTAGCTCTAATCTAGACCTTCCTGTGTTTCCTTCAGATAATGGAGACTCCGAATCAGTGAAGGAAGGATCGGATGAGCCTGACACGTCTGATGGCGAGGTCTGTTTCCTTTATGGCATCCATTCTTCACCCATATTCCCCGCAAGCACCGCATTAGGCACAATCTGTTCTCAGTCCATGAGTCAGTAAGGAGGCAACTGCATGGCACATCTTGGGTTGGGGACAATTTCCCACTGGCATGGGTGGTCACCTGCAGGGGACCCACACTCCAGCAGAGACCTACTGGCTGGAACCCACTGGAGTTGCTGCTCCCCTCTGGCTTTGCAGCCTGCTTGCCCCCCACCTAATTTACCCTCCATTGCTTTCTACACGTCCCTCAGGCAGGACATAGAGCCCTCCCTCTGACTTCATATCTGAAACGACAGCCATTTCGAAGCTGTCGAGATTCCTCCTTGCCAAAAGCTCTTTATTCTCCAAAGCACTTCCAGTAAGTCCAGCCAACAAAGAATGAGTCTCTGAGCATGTACAGAGTGGGTTGTTGAACCAAATCGAACATCTACTTCTCAACATTCTCCTTCTGAGCATCCCCGGGCCCCTCCCTCTGGGATGCCCTTTATGGAGGTGAGCAAGCCTCTTCTCTGTCCATCACCGCTCCAGTTGGCCAGTCTGTTTCTCCCAACAGAGTATCACAAGGTCAAGAGCTGAGCCAGGCTTGGCTGGCTGCAGGAGTTTTTTCCCATGCCCCCTCCCTGAAGCTGCACATCCTGATTATTCCCAACATCCACCTGAACATCTTGGGAAGGTGCCCTTGAGATGAGCCCCTCTGCTTCTTCCATTTCACCATCTGAGAATTCTGGTTCCTAGGACCCCTCTTCACTTGGCAAGTCCAAATCTGTCTGATCTTGGAACATGGACCAAGAATAACCTGCCCCTTTCATCCCCAACAGCAAACCAAATGGTCAGTAGCGTCTGTTCCTCATCTTCATTAGACCTCAAGGAGATCCCCTTAGCCTGGTTTCAAGATCTAGGTGTTCTCCATAAGTGGAAGCTGGTCTGTTCCGGAGGAAGCCCAGACCTGATCTCTTGCCCCTAAGATGAACTTTAACATATATGGGTTAAAAGACAGAGGACAGAAATCACAAAGAAGGACACACTGAGTTAACATATGTGACTTTAGCTTTTCTTAGGTGACCAGTTCTCTTTTACCCTACATCTGAGTTCTGAAATTCAGCAGGCACTGGGGAACATCCTCTAGCCTTAAGATAACACACACAGAGGAATACCAACAATATAATTCCCATTACACTGGCAATTATTAATGGAACTAAAGGGGAGAACGCTCCATCCAGAGCTGCTGTTTCCAGCCCCCTGCATGGGCTTCTATCCCACCCCACACCTGAAGCTGTCTGGACCATTTGGGGTGGTTGTCCCTCAATCCTGAAACCAGGCTAAGGGGGTTTCCTGATGAGCTAAAGGAAGGTGGGGGGCATAAGCTACCAAAAGTTTGATTTTGATATAAATGAAGTGATGCATATTAGCACATCTATTAGCCGAAGTGATGCATCACTCCTAATGAGGAAGTGCTTCTTAAGATCAGGAAGTCCAGCATCTCAAGCAGGGGTGCAAGACCTTAAAGCCCAGGGTCCTCCAAAGACAGCCATAATCCTTTCCCCAACACCAATTGTTTGTGGGCTCCCAGCTTTTCTCCCTATTAAAAATTGAAGTCCCTTTCCTGAGGCTTAGTTATTGGCTTCCAGCTAGAATATGGTGGTGTTTTTGCTGTTTTGTGGTGTTTCAACCCCTGGCCCTTTGGCCTTCAGCCTTGCCCAGTTGGATGGAAACTCTGCAGTGCTACCCCAGCAGGGAATTCAGCCCTTGGCCAGAGGAAGTTCTGCAGCGTGTGGTCTAACTGCAGCCCTGTTTCCAAGCCAAGTACTCTGTCCTATGACTAGGAGAGGACTTTAACCCAACTGAGGCATGACTGACTTGCGGTTTGGTTTGAAAGAAGCAACCCTTTGCTGTTCTGGAAATACACAAAACGAACGTGGTATAAGACCTGATCCGGACAGGTTTTCAAGCCTGATTGTTGTGTTCACTGAGGCAGGAGGGGACAAGGGCTGACCCAAGCATTGCATGGCATTTATCCTGAATGCACCTGCCTGAATCTTCTATTTTTCTCCCTCATCTGTCTAGCTGATTGGGGCTTGTGATGATGAAAGTCTCCAGGAAGTTTCCATGGAAGAAAATTATGGTTGCAAAACCGAGACCCTCCAGAGATCGCAAACAAAGCGCAAAAGAGGACAAGAGTCGTGGACAAAAGGTATAGACGGGCGGCTCAGAATTGTTCAGTGCCAGTCACACCAGATATTGCAATCCCAACCCCTCCACATTTTATGTCTGAAATGAATTAGGTGACCTTGCATTTCTTTACTTAATCTGGATCCCTGTGAACCTTGATAAACAGTACTGGTAACAACACATTTTAATTTTATTTATTTGTTTATTTATTTGAAACATTTGTATGCCGCCCGATTGTGCCACAGCACCTCTGGGCAGCTCACAACATGAGGTAAAAACACAATAAAACATAATAAAAACCATAACACATTAAAAACAACAATAAAGTACAGTAAAACTTACAAAACAAAGGTCTATGGTAATTAGCTATTAAAATGTTTCTTAAGGACATTTTTAAAAAGTAAGAGGAAAAGGAAGGAAGGAAGGAAGGAAGGAAGGAAGGAAGGAAGGAAGGAAGGAAGGAAGGAAGGCAGGCAGGCAGGCAGGCAGGCAGGCAGGCAGGCAGGCAGGCGCCAGGCGAATCTCTTTGGGGAGAGCATTCCAAATATGGGGAGCAGCTGCAGAAAAGGCCCTGCTCCTAGCAGCCATCCCTCTCACCTCCCCAAGGGATGGCTCACAGAGGAAGGCCCCCTGCGCAGACCCCAGAGGCTGGGGAGGCACCTCTGGGTGCTTTGCAATGTGACCCCTGCATGCACCACCCCTGTGGCCATCGGCTGGGCGACAATCAGGGCAGCCCTGCAAGGGGCCCGTCGCGTCCAAGACAGGGGGGCAGCCCGATCAGACTTGGAACACAGGGTCCTCCTGGGACCTTGGGCTCTGCCCGCCATCTAAAAGCAGCCACAGGAGGGTGTGTGTTGAGGAGAGCAACGGGTTGCATGACCCTTCCCACCCTGGCCAGCCGCTTCCACGGCCAGCATCCCTTTAGGCCTGCTTGCCGTAACTAGGCGTGCAAAGGGTGGGAGAGATTTCCAGGAAGAGGACCGTCCCTTCATCCTGGTTGCCACAGGATGTTCAGCAAAGGAGCGGATTTCAGGTCTGGGTCTCCACCAGGCGTCTCATTTGGCCACAAGGCAGACACAGGCGCTCAGTGCCTGCCCGTCCTCAGAGGAGTTAGGCATCCTTTAAGACCACCTTCCCCAACCTGGTACCTTCCAGGTGTTTTGGGGTAGCACTTCCATCAGCCCTAGCCAGCATGACCAATGGGATCATGGGAGCTGTAGTCCTAGACATCTGTAGAGCACCAGGTTAGGGCCAGCTGATATAACATCTTTAGCATCCCTCTTCTCAGTGACTTGCAAAGGGTTTAGACTATCTGACAATGCCTAGGAGATGACCTTTAGCACTGGGCCACCTGGTCTTGTGCACAGCAGCCTCCCCAACTTGGGGATCTCCGGATGACTTGGACTGTAAGGGCCACAGTCCCCAGGCTCATCTGTGTGTCCTGGAGAAAATATTTTAGCATGCAAATTGTAGCAATAGGTGCTGAATTCAGACCATCCCCTTGTCTTGCTGCCTTGACAAACTGATAAAAGAAATGGCTTTCAGTCCTTTCCCCTTAGTTCCCCTTCTGGGAATTTTTAAACCCTTCTGGTTGTCCCTCGACATCTAGCAAATGGCTGGTGGGTTTGAAAAAGGATGAGCAAGGACTGGGCGCTATTTTCCCTGGCCAAATCAGACGCATTTGCTTCTGCTGACTGAATTCCGTGCTGCACAAATGTTTGCCCAGAGTGATACAGCTGGGCCCTGATAAGGCACACAGCCCGGGCCTGCTGCAGATGGCTAGCCGAAGCCAACCTGGGGCCAGGTGGGAGGGGCAGCCTCCACCACGCTTCATGTGAATAGGTGTAGTAGGTACACAGCCCTGTGTTTGCTCAGCCCTTCCTAAGAAATGTTGATTGACAAAGTAGGCCAAATACTCCCTGCTTGGAGCCATCGCAACCAGAGCAAGTATCACATGAAGGGTGTTTATTTTCAGGCCGGGCCCTGAGAGGTGGCAACCTGCTAACAAAGGAATGTGTTGTACTGGTATTTCCTACAGGTGTGACAAAGCAGGAAATTGATAAGCTTGGCATAAAAGCACCTTTGCCTGTTAACAGTTTAAACACTTCTCTCTGCCCGAATGCCGTTCGCTGGGCTCTGTTTGTGCAGGCAAAGAGGGGAGAAGCGGAGCAAAACACAGAAGCCCACTGTTGTCGCTGGCGCTGCAGCCAGGGGCTTGTTTGACAAGTTTCCGTTCCTGTCCCCGTGCCTTTCTGACAAGTCCCATGAACCTGGATGTAAAATTCTGAATGCTCCTCTTTCTTGCTGTAGCAAGAGCATTGGCCCTTCCCTGCAAGATGCTGAGCTGAGCCGACAGCACAAAGAAATTGGCAGCAAGCACAGATGTTTTGAATGCCCCTCAGCGAGGATGGGGGTTTGTACCTCTTCTTCCTCCCCACCCTGAAAAAGGGGGCACTGATTTGCATAATTCCTACAATAACTTATATGGAGAGAAGAAAAACTAGGAATAATTACTATAGGAAGAGAGGAAGCGGGCTTATGCGAGCCATGTAGTCCTTGGCCCAAGCTCTGCGCTGTCCACACTGACTGGCAGCAGTCACTTTCCTGGGACTCTGGCAGAATTCCTTCTTGGCTTTGCCTGCAGACGCCAGGGATTGCACCGGGAACCCTCTGCCTTTTATTTGTTTATTTATTAGATTTGCATCCCACCTTTTTCTGTTAAAGAACTCAAAGTAGCTTCCATCATTCATCGTGCAAAGCTGCTGCCCCTCCTGTGATGGAAATGCATTGCAGGTAGAGATGCAATCAATCATAGACCACGGGGGGGGGGGGGGGATTTGGCCCAGGCGAGGTGTGGATTGCCTGCTTGGGACCAGCTGTTAGCTGTCGATGAGCCAGGTCGAAGCCTTGCTGTTCTCCTCTCCTGCTGTGGCTTCCAGTCCTTCATCCAGGACTTCCACAGACAGCCCTTCCAACAGAGGACATGTTCGAGCAGAGAAATGTCTTGGGAAGCCCATCAAATGGAGGACTGTCCTAAATAAGGCAGGGTGGGTGATCCCTTTAGCCTACACCAAAGTGCTCCCTTGGGGCAATCGGCACTGGGTTCTCCATCCCGACACTGTGGGACAGAAGCCTCTGCCTCCTCGCAGCTGGACCATGGGTCCATCCACCCAGTATGGTCAACACGGACTGGCAGCCGTGGCCCCACATGGTTCCAGACAGCGTTCCGTGGGGAGGATATGCAGCTGTTTGCACATGGTCCTACGTCACTTGCACAGCCGTGGGTTCCCTTGCTGTGGGCAGGTCGTGGCCCTGCTCGAGGCCCCCATCCGTGGTGGTGGGCAGCAGGCACCAGAGTGAGGGACGCAGCTCCTGGCTCACAACGTCAAGGACCTTCTGCTTGGCACGGCTGAGCCCTCTGTGAACCGGGCAAGCACTGGGCAAAGGGGCTGGTTTATTTTCTTGGGTACTGCCGATGGGCGCCGAAGAGGTCCAGGCCATGGAGTCCAGTCCACATCGGCTCCTCTCCGGTGGGGTTGGGGCAGGAAGGGCAGGGTGGGCTGATGGTGGCCTTTGCCGAAGCCCCATCCAGCTGCTGCCTCCAGTAATTTCCCAGTTTTTGCATGCAGCGGTTTGGCGGTGAAAGGGATAAGACTGCAGATGGCCACCGAACCCCATTAGTTTCAATATCATGGGTTGCCCCTGATGGGACAACTACCCCAAAGGCATGGTTGGCCTGTTTTCTTTGAGGGGGCGGGGGATTTCGTTGTAATTTATATCTTCTTGTAAGCTGCCCTCATGTGGGCCTTACACCCCACATTAAAAAATAGACAAACAAGTTAAGATTTTAAAAAATACATTCTCATTTTAAAAGGGATGATTGCTAAAGATTTCAATATGGTGAAGCACAATTTTGGGCGAGTTCAGACAGAAAAAGTGGGAGTGGTGACCCCGGCTACAGCACGCTACAGTTTGTGGTGCTTTTTTTCTGTCCAAACTTGTATAATATTGTGCCTGTACGACTGTAACAAGAAACTCTAACATTCAAGAATCATTTGCAAAGATTCCTAGTTTTAATACTCCAAAAGGAGAATGTTCCAATTCAGCTTTGACTAGGCTATTAAGCTGACAAGTTTACGGACCTAGAGACCTTCTGGTAAGAAGCTACGTTCCAAAATCTTGCACAGTTTCTGTGAAGAGATTACCTCATAGCAAATACCCTCCCTGTCCCATAAATTAGGTTTCCTGCGCTTTATTATCTCATTCCTACCAAACATTCCTAATAATTAGAAGATACAATAAAAGGCTGAACATTTGTTTTTCAAGCCATAAATGAGCCATTTAGAATTGTTTTATTAATTTATAGACTCATAGAATAGTAGGGCTGGAAGGGGCCATGAAGGCCATCAAGTCCAACCCCTGCTGGTGCAGGACACCACGTTACACCATCCCGCTCAGGTGGCTGTCCAGTTCCTTTTCAGTGTGGGAGAGCCCATCATCTCTCCAGGCAGCTGGTTCCACTGTCCTATTGCTCTGACAGTGAGGAAGCTTTTCCTGATGTCCAGCCTGAATCTGGGTTGTCAAAACTTGATTATTTCGTGGCCTGCACTCTGGTATGAGCAGGAAGAGATCTTGACCTTCCCCTTTGTGACAGCCTTTGAGGTACTTATAGAGGGATATCATCTCCCCCTCAGTCTTCTCTTCTCAAGGCTGAACATGCCCGGTTCCCTCTGTCTCTCCTCATAGGGCAGTGTTTCCAAACCCTGGATCATTTTTGTTGCCCTCCTCTGGACCCTTTCTAATTTACCTGCATCTTTCTAAAATCCTGGTGCCCAGAACTGGATGCAGTATTCCAGGTGAGGTCTGACTAGTGAGGAGTACAGAGGAACTGCTCCTCTTCATCTTTTGGAAGTAATACTTCTGTTAATGCATCCCAAAATAGCATTTGCCCTGTTTGCTGCTGCATTGCATTATTGGCTCACATTCAGTTCATGTCTATAAATTTTTCCAGATGTCTATATA